GAGGAGGGCGTATCCGGGATGCGGTCCCTTCACCAGAGGAGCTGCTCGCTCCAGGTGCGACAGAGGGTTCTCACCCTGCCCAGGCACCCTGACCCGCGAACGCATCCGTGACTCCAGCGTCGAGCAGGGACCCTGGCGCCTTCGGTAAGTGAAGAGGACGAGGAGGTTGCGGGGAAGAGGGTGTCGGCGGGTGTCCGGTCCGCTGACCGCCTGCGCGGTGGAGTGGGCGGGGGGTGCCCGCTGGACACCGGGAATCCGGGCCCCTCGACGTGGCCGGGTAAGAACTGGGAAGGTCGTTTGCCTGCAGGACTCTCCAGCCAGCGCGACTCTCATCAGCTGTGCCCACCTACCCTCTCCGCGTTACAGCGAGTCTAGGAGCATGGGTTGCTGGTCGTTTTTTTTCCTCCTTTGCCCTTTTGGAGAGAAATGTGTTTGGGGTTCCTGGCCGTGGTAATTGTGCAGCTAGCTTGAAGCTGGGTTGTCTGTTCCACGCCCCAGCACTTTCCTTTTTGAGTTACTTTACCCTGCGCTCCAGCTCCTGCCATAAGGCGCATCGAGAGGGAGGGCAGACGCCTTCCTCCGGGAAGAAAATTCGTGGTCCACACCTGGCGCAGGGAGAGAGTCACTGCTTTCCTCGGGAAGTGGCTGCTCTTTGCCTCCTGCTCCTCTGTTCACTGGAGAAGGGGAAGGGGTATTTTCTGTGGCAGTAGACTTGCGATTCTATCAGGAAATTACAACCGAGACTTTAAGATTCTGAGGCGATAAAACTACCGGTGCAGGTTAAGAACGAATCATTTGAGGTCTAATGTTCTGCAAAGTTTTAATGTCTGCAGACTGCATTTTCCCCATTTCAGTGTAGGTTTTGTTTGGGTATTTGTTTTATTTCTGCATCGTGATACACATTCAAGTGAGCTTCTCAAGCAGTTGTCTGGGCCATCCAGGTTGGTTTCAAATGATATGTTCCTAAACATGATCTAATTTCAATATTGCTATCAGTCATGCATCCTCTGGTTAATAAAAACTCTCAGGCGCTGAGAACTTACAAGAGGTGGGGAGACTTAAAGAGAGCTATAATCACCCGTGGTTCCAGTGCTTACGGAAGCATCTCATGAGGAGGGACACTGTAAAATGTGCATATTTTAGTTCCATCATTGTTCTAGGATGATTTTGTTTTTCTGTCAGAGGCATGGAGTATATGTAACCCCCAGCTTAAGGAAATATTTACTTAGATCATAAACTGATTTTCCTTCTGTAGTTCATAGAATCAAGAGCTACCCAAATAAACCTTCAATAGTGAAAGATTTACATAAAAACAGTATAAAGAGTCTCTTTATTTTAGGACATCCATCAACTAAAATTCATAGGATTTTTGTTAGGTGATCACCATTGATACTATCATACCATTTTGTGGATTAATTTTAAAATATACCTTTATATTTATATATAACTAATCAGTTTGCCAATTGCATAGCTTATCAATTTATTTTTGGCTTTCAAATTAGATCAAGAACCAAGAAAATATAAAGAGTTTGAAAGCTTGATTTTAAAACAGCAAGAACTCCGTTCAGGTTTGGTTCAGTTATAAGTTGCTGGGCTGTATTATGGTAACATGACCATTAAACAATTTTTAAATTTTTTGACTGGTGGATCTAGTGCAGATTGGCATCTCCAAACAATTCATTTTTCTGATGAAACTCTTAAAGCCCAATTTCAGGGGACAGGCTTCAGAAACAAGCAATCTTGGGTCGAATCTGAGCTCAGTCATCTACTAGCTATGTAATCTCGGGCAAATTGCTTAACCTCTCTAGGCCTCGATTTCTTCATCTGTAGATGTGATACCACCACCTACTCACTTTGTAATGTTGTGGGAGGATTAGAGATGTATGTAAAAGTGCTTAGCAATTCCTAATACACAGGAGTAGCTCAATAAATGTCAGCTGTTATTATCACTCACTCTGACCTTCAACTATGTGCTCATTATGGAAAATATCTGAACAGCAGATACTTAGGAAAAAATGTCAAAATTATACAAACAAATTTAACAGTGGAGAAGGACGGTAATGTTAAATTTCCCAAGCGCATGTATGAAAAGTAGCACCTCCTTCATGAAACACACATTTTTAGAACAGAAACCTTATGGTATAACGGAAAGAACATCAGAGAGTCAAAGTCTTCAGTTCTAACTCTGGCTATGACCTCATCTAACTGTATGGCTTTCAGCATGCCAGCTGCCCACTCTCGAGCTCAATTTCTTCATCTGGCTGGACTTGAATACTCTCGAATAATCTCTAAGACCCTTTGCAAGCTTCAAAACTGTTTATTACACGTAATAAAAATTACACTAGCTTGCTCACCACTCTGCCCTTCGTTGTTTTTTCTTGTGGATGGTGGTGGTTTTTGTTTGTTAACTTGCAATTCAGAATCATAAACAATTCATAAAGACAGCACAACTACAGAACTGATGAAATAATATCAGATTTGCAGAGTAATCCAAAATGAAGTTTTAACAAAGAGAAGAACAAACTAAATTCATGCTGAAATATTTCTGATAGGGCAAAAGTAAACCCCAATTTTTACTCTCCAGTCATTTTAGTAAGTTATTACAAGGGAAACATGCTTGGCAGAATCTATACAATCAACTGAAATAGTCTTTATAGAAAACAATAGGCTGATGGTGAAATAAAATACCACTCTCTTTTCTCTTGTCAGGTTGATCCGTAAATAAAACAAAAATCTATCCAGTAAAGGGCTTTCATGAAGAAATTAAAGAGAGAAATTACAAGTAATAGAGAATCTAAGCATTTGTGTAACTGGAGAAACCACCTAAAACAACTGTATGGAGTAGGACGAAAGGAGTGAATACACCTGGAAGAAATTTTACTCAGTATGATATTTTTGCCCACTTTTTTGTCATAAAAGTCTGCTAAGGAAGAGAACATATAGTTTTCTAAAGAAAAGGTGTAATGTAAGAATGGAGACCACAGTTTCTGAAATTCAAGTAGAAAACAAGGATGAGAAGAGATCGGCAGAAGTTAGTCCTCAGAAGGAGAGGCAGGAAGAAAACGCATCAATGCTTTGCTTCAAGAGAAGAAAGAAAGCAGCCAAAGCAATGAAGCCCAAAGCTGGCTCTGAAGCTGCTGATGCAGCAAGGAAGTGCTCCCCAGAAGCAGGAGCTTCTGATCAGCCACAGCCCCCAGGGGGGGCCTGGGCCTCAATCAAACGCCTTGTAACACGAAGGAAAAGGTCAGATTCTTTAAAGCAGCAAAAGTCCTTTGAGGCTGAGGTGCAACCTGAAATCAATGCTGAGGATGCTGATCCTTCTAAGAAAAAGGCAAAATCCAGACTCAAGATTCCCTGCATAAAATTCTCAAAAGGGGAGAAAAGGAAGCATTCCAAAATTATAGAAGACTCAGACCGCAGCATCAAAGTCCAGGGAGAGGCTGAGAGTTTGGATACAAAAACTCTGACCCAGTCAGATGACAAGGCAACAAAGACCAAGTCGACCCAGGATATAAGGGAAGATGTCTCACAGAAAGAGGGTGATGAGGTCTGTGAATCAAATGTGAACAACAGCATAACTTCTGGAGAGAAAGTGATTTCGGTAGAACTGGAGTTAGATACGGGGCATTCTGCTATTCAAACAGGAACTCTAATCCTTGAAAAAGATATTGAAACGATTGAGGAAAAACAAAGCGTTCAACCTCAGCAAGCAAGCCCACTGGAAACTCCAGATACAGAATGTCAGCTTCCAGTAGTTTCTGATGTTCCTCCCTCACCTGCACTCCCAGATCAACAAAGTGTGGAAGGAGCCAGAAATGATACCCTAGAAAGTGGACCAAACTGGAAAGACCATGAAAGTAGAGAGACTATAATTCAGGAGAGTGAGCCAAAAGATGCTGAATTGAGCCAGGAATCAGATTTTAAAGAAAATGAAATCACAGCAGAAAAACCCAAACCAGAAGAAAGCAAAAGAATGGAGCCAATTGCTATTATTATCACAGACACCGAAATCAGTGAATTTGATGTTCAGAAGTCTAAAAATGTCCCTAAGCAGTTCTTAATTTCAGTTGAAAATGAGCAAGTAGGGGTTTTTGCTAATGATAGTGGTTTTGAGGGTAGAACTTCAGAACAATATGAAACACTCTTAATAGAAACAGCTTCTTCTCTTGTCAAGAATGCTATCCAGTTGTCCATAGAACAGCTGGTTAATGAAATGGCCTCTGATGATAATACAATAAACAATCTTCTACAGTGATTTAGTTTCCAGATCATGGGAGGAAGAAAAGCTTAATGGTGAAGTATTTTACATATTTGTGGCATTTCTTATTCTGTAACAAATGAGAGAAATACCATCTGTGGAATTTAAAGGTACAATTCCAGCCCAGAAGTGCTAAAGAATTAATCAAGTTACAAAACCCTCCCTACCACTGCCATGAAGCCACTTCTGGATTGGAGGAGGTCAGTACAGAGTGCAATGCAAGGTGACATCCAGGGAGTTGCTAAAATGGCATGTGGAGATTAGGGTGCTTGAGGGAGGATGTATTTATTGAGCACTTGTGGTATACCATAAGCTCTTTAATATCCTCTGATGTCATAAAGCCTGGTTCTGCTTGATACATCTGTGTATAGGTGAATATTGCATTCAGTTTTCAACCTTTTTTTTTTACACTGCACTTTTATGTTGTTTAAAATGGTGAATAAGGTGAGCTATTTTTGTAAATGTGTGATTTATAGTTGTTACACTCCTAGGCAGTAGTCTTAACCCCCCCTCCAAATATTGGAGGCAAAAAAAAAAAAAAATATATATATATATATATTGCTTAGTTAAACATGAGTGATATTCTAGTCTTGCTCAGGTCTCTTACAAAAGCCACTCACAAATTACTTCAAACAGGCAAATAATTACCAAGTGCAAAGGTGGGGAAATGGGGAGTGCATTTTCCCTCTCCATCTTTCTTCTGCCCCAACAGACCTGTGTAAATCCATTTATGCATGGGATCATCTGCTGAAAAGTCAAAAAACAAAACAACAGCAACAATAAAAACAAAAAGTAGAATATTATCTTCCATCCAGGAGAAGGCAAACTTCCCAAGTAACAAGTTATCACGGATAACATAGGATTCATCTTACAGGATTACATCTCTAGAGACTATTCACCAATCTCTCCTCAAAGAGGAAAGTATGGATTCCAAGCCAGCCTGGCAGTAGAAGTCCTAGGAAATCATAATGATTTAGTGAAAATATTAGTCATTCTTGGCCAAGAATGAGCAAAGTACATGGCTGAATAGAAAGTGAAAAGTTATTTCTAAAGAACATTATATTTTAAATGTCAGTATTCTTTTATTGTGCCTATGGGTTGAGAGACACCAGTAAAAAACACTTTACCTGAATATTGAAAAGTAACTTTTTCATCAGTAATTTCAGTCCAGCTAATCCTTTACCAAAAAGTGAACTTAATGTAACAAGAAGGGCTTATTTGCATTTTATTGTTATTTAAGTAATCGATCTCAGTGATTGCCATTTTTTTTGAAAAAGTATTTGTTTCAGTCTTTCCTTGTGTGAAATGGCCATAATACTGCAACACATTTCCTTACCTCACAGGTCAGGGTTCATATTGTATAGTTCCCCACTGTCTAAACTGAGTGACAGTGTCACTCTGAAAGCAAATGAAGTAATGAAGAGCTTTCACTTGAGTTGTAAGGTTTTTGCTCAAGGTATTTGCACATTCGTGGAGAAAAGAATGTACATTAAATGATTTAAATGACCTGGTGACTTCTTGCCATTACGTGTGGATTGCATATAGAAGGTATGTGCTAATTTGTTCCATACATCTTTGTTTCTTCCTGAAGTACATATTGAGACCTCTGGCAAAAGAACCTAATCTGACTTTGGAACTGAACCAAGTAATGAATATTATTAGCAAGATTCAAGAATACAAAAGTATTCTCCCAGATTTTCCCACCTTCATGCTTATAACCTTGGGGGGCAAGTCCCACCCAAATCCTTCAATTTAGCAATTTAAAATTGGATCTTTCAAAACATGATTCAAGAAATCAGTTTCTTTTAATTCTATAACTTTTAAACATTTTTTTAAAAAAAGACTGCTAAGTCATCCTTCCTAAAAATACTCCTTTTAATTCACTATATGTGGTGCTAATGGACTTGGACAGCTACCAGCAGCTACATATTTAAAAGTGAACAATTTTTTAAAAATTGATTAAAGTTGGTGCATTTTACAGTGTTTTAAAGAATCCTGCCTTCATTTTCTGCAATGATGGCTCAAGCCAATATACTTGCATTGTAAGTTTTTAGTAATTTCTCATGAATGAGCAAAAAGTACAGCACTTACCAGTTACTGAAAATATTTTGAAATGTTTAGGCATATTTATTTGGGAGTTTTAAAAACAAATGTGAGGTAAGTATGTGTAATGAATTTTTAAAAGAAAGTAACATTTTATCTAACTAGTCCTAGGTTTCTAATTTTTTTTTCCCATTGTGGTGTGATACATATTTGCTTAGAATGTATTGTAATTGATTGTTTTTGTGATGAAATGTGTAGTCTATTTGCATTCATTCTTAACTGGATTCTCCTCGATCTTTTCTATTGAGAGTATCTCGTGAATTAAATAAGTAGGATTCCAGTTTGAAAAAGGAATCCAGAAATTGGTCTTAATCTGATTATATCTGCTACATGGCCGAATTCTACTGCAGTGAATTCTAAGGTGATCCAAATTTTTTTGTTGTTATAGAAATAATTAGGAATCAGATGACTTAGAAGTCACTCATTTTTTTTTTCATTTTAATGGTATTTATTTTAAGCACTTTGACCTTATATGCAAGATATTAAATGAATATAGGTAGGTTCTTATTCAATTCACATCCACTTGACAATATTAAAGTGATCATTTAAAAGCAACCTAATAACACCACATTAATTTGCATTTAAATTTGCTGTGGTATAAATGCTTTTAGTGAACATTTATTAATTAGCTGGGATTCAGTTTCTTTTTCAACTCAGAATTTTACAAGACAGGTTGGTTTATCAGATACTTGTTAAGTTTTTTTTTTTTTTGATACTTGTTAAGTTTTTCAGCATGTTATCTTCTCTCTTTTAAGAGTCAAGGATTATTCAGTTTGCTTTACAACTAGCGAATATAAAAATCCTCCTCTATTTTATGTAGCACTATTCTCTTAACATTTTCTCAAAGTACTTAATAGGATACAGAAATAGTCCTTGGTAACATTTAAATACAGGTAGCAGAAAACAAAAGAACTTTCAAAGAGAAATTATGTTCGCTGCCACCTCCTCCACCTCAAAGAACAATAAGCATGTGGCACAAATGGAGTTCTTCAGAAAAGCTGTCTGCATAATTTTCTTTCAAGGTAATGTATTTGACAGCACAAAGTTTGTGATGCTCTTAATTGGTCTACTACTTAGTGAAGTCATAAACTCTCTGATTTATTTCTGAGATTATGTTATTTCACCAGTATGTGTGAATGGCCTTCTTGCTAAAGGCTTTTAGAGATAATGGTTATGAGAGGGTACCAGTCAGATCTGGCTTCTGCATGCAATCCAAAGTTAACTTCATCCATAAATTTCTAACTTCAAGTTGCCTTATTTTTTTATAGTTAAGAATTAATTTGGGGGGGTTTACAGCAGAATTTTTAACACAATTGTTAGGCTTTAGAATCCCATTGTTTGAAAATATTTTTTAACATCAACTTTATTCAAATGTGTAAAACCTACTTTCTAATTTCACCTAATAATAATAATCAGGGGTGAACTTTTTGCCTGCCATTTATGCATTTTTTTAAATCCTCATTTAAAGTTTAGAGTTCTTTAGGTTCAAATTCCTATGATGTTTTACTGTGTAACATGGAGTTTCTTATTATAAAGAATTCAAAATTTCAATATACAGTACATTTTGTTTGTTTTTGAAAACAGTTTTTTGTAATCCTTACTTAGTTACAAAAGTTTAACAGAAGGAAACTACTTAAATTTAAATTCAATTTATTCAATTTGTATTGGGTATGTAACACATGCCAAACACTGTTTGAATAAAGGGGACAGGCTCCCTGCCCTCCAAGAGCTCAACTGAGGGAGCAGTAGCAACTGGAACTGGGGCAGACATTAAGGCAAAGAACCACAGGTGATGCAGCCTCGCGAGTACACTAGTGGGAGAACAGACGGTGATTAATTTTGTCTGGTGTGGGGCGATGGCCATATAAATACTGGGCAGTTTGAAAGTATTCAGCTTCTAAATAGTTAAACAGTGTATTCCTTCTGACTTGTGAACAGGTGCAGAAAAAGGCCTGCATAATGTTACATATTTATAGTAGTTCTTTGTAAAAATGTTAAGTGGATGAGTTATCATGAAAGCAAAAGTTCCAATTTGTATTTCTCATTAAAATTAGTACTATATTACTGTGGATCAGATGCAAATATTAAAGAAATAATACTCTGTAGAAAAAGAAATTCAACCTGAATTAATAAATGTACTGACTATTAATACAGAATAAATGTTCTACTGGCTCATGTTTATTTTATTTATCCAAATCTTTCAAGAGAAACCTGGTATAATACATTCATTTCCTAAAACTATAAAGATCACACTGCTGAAGCCACTGAGGTAGAGCCACCAAAAGTTCTACTCTGCTGATTGTGTTGGACAGAATTTACGATGACATGCCTGAAAGAGCTCACCTCCAGCAAAGAAAAACACAAACACCTAGAACCTGAATTCCATGTCATGAACTAATTGCATCTAAAGGGCAATTCTGACTTTGATGGCATCTATGAACTTGGCAGAAGTGCACTTGTTTTCATCATCTCTTGCTGTTCTCACTGGTTGTTTTCTACATTATACTAACCTAGGAATTGTTAATAATCCGTATGGTTTTCCAAATAACTTAGCAATCTTGAAGTGAAAAATGATTATTGAGATGGTGCCTGCTAAAAGCTGGGTGTTTCAAAAGTTCTGTGTTTACTATGACATTGACTTTCTGCTCTTAACATCGACAGCCCTGTTTTTCTTAAGCACAGCCCAATGATAATAATTAGGCTCTATGAAAGAGTGTGCTTTCTAAATCTTGGGACCAAAGTTGATAGTGTGTTAAAAGTCCTAGAACTTAACTTCGTTCCAAAGTAAAATGTCATTAACGTACACATACTGTACAGAGAGCATTTACTATTTCACATTTTGCAGAATTAAAATTTTTTTATTAAATCGCATCTTTCTATTATGAGAAAAATGCATAACCTTTTGCAACGCTTGTCTTCACAGGCAATTCTGCCTTTACCACTTAAGTCTGGAGTCCCCAATCTGTGAAGTACATACCTTTTTTTTCCCCCGAAGCTTGAGATCACTGGAAGCTCAATTCCCCAGCTTAGGAAAGAGAGTGAGTATATGTGTGTACGTGCATGCGCACACTACATGTCCGCAGAAAATCCTCAGCAAAGCTGGGCAGGGGCACCGTGAACAGTTAAAGAAAGTCTAGGTGAGAGGAGGATGGGGTGATGGCTCCTAGGCTGGAAAACTCCCAGCAAGGATTAAGTTTTTCTTATACTTTTCACAGCTTTACTTGTGGCCATAAAAACCAGGCCTTCCAGTTTTGCACTCTTGGGAGATGGAGAGCACAGGGTGACACAAAAGCAGGTGTAGTCATTTATACACGTGTACTCACACCTTTTATTCCTAGATTCCTACTTTGACATCTGTACCTTCAGGTCACAGGAAGGTCTGGTCAGTGTGGCTGTAAGTGGGTCTCTGGATCACATCTATGATGTGTACTGTTACAAGTAATGCAGCTACAGGCATGCATGCTCAAGTCAAATATCCTCATATATAAATTACAATGCAGGGGTTCCTGTGGAATAGCCATCTGAGGCATAAAAGCTTAGAATATCACTTCCCTTTAAACAGGTCATCCAAAACCAGAGTATTTCCATCCTCCTGATCAGAATGGCTAGTTAGAACTGTCCTTGCTGTGTAAGGCTGAGATGTACAGAATGCCAAAATAACTGGTCACCCACTACTCAATTCAGGTGAAAAGTCAGCCTGACTTTCTGATCTTTTATCCAGATGTGCTAGAAACTGCCTTATCAATAATTTCGCTAATTTCAGAATTATCTTTTTTGTTTTATGGGTTTTATTTATACTCTTAGTGTCTGGATGAGGTGTTTTTTTCTGACCTGTGAAAGGATTAATAGTGAATGATAACCATTATGAGTCATTAAGCTCTAAGACTTCTATATTAATCTGGGTGGTCTTAACCTTTTTTCCATCAAGGTATAATTTACGTATAGTAAAATCCACCGTTTTTCGTGCACAGTTTACAAATTTTGACAAACATATAGTTGTATCACCTAGGAAGGATTAATTTTTTTCTTATTCTAATTTCATTGCTATTTATACCAGCTATTTTTTAGTTTTAATATAATTTCCTGGCTGCATCAATGAAAACTGTTACTTGCTAGAGAAATTCAAAATACAGGCTTCTTAAACCCAACATTGAAACTGGGATAAGGACAGGCAGGCTGCCCTGCACAGTTATGGAAAGTGCACAACCCAACCCCAGAAGCATGCATTTGGTGAGTGGTGCCCCCTAGCGTTAACTGTGCATAATTTGCATGGTGCTATGTAGTGGGTCTGAACATGACCACAGTTTGAAAAGTCTGCAGAACTGTGATGATGTTGACAGTGAAACAGGAGATGTTTAAAATTTTTAAAAAGGAGTCCTCCATTTTTATGCCTCTCCTCCCACACTTAAAACGCTGTAAAGCGAGAACAGGAAGCACTGGGCTCACAGCACAAACCATGCACATATGTGAAAGAAGGGCAGTGTTGGCAAATGAGAACTGGTCCAGTAAAAAAAAACCAAAAAACAAAACAAAAAAACTTTCGAGACTCACTCCCCTGGAATCTTAGATCTGTATTTTGAAACCTTTCTCCTTATCTTTGCAAATGTTACATCCTTTTTCTAACAAACCACCATAGGTTCTTTAGATTTTCCTCTTTATAAGGCACTTAAGTACAAATGCCAGTTCTCAAAAAAAATTTTTTTTAATTAGATACTTACCTACATCTAGTTTGGACTAAGTACCATATGGCTTCCACTACAGAAAAATGTGGTAAAGCTAAATTCACAAGATCTCACTCCTCAAAGGCCTGTTTGGTCCACAAAAACCTAATATGGATCTTCCTGAAATTCAGTAATAACCTAGATCAAACAATAGGTAATGTCTGTTACAGCCGATGAAGACCTCCTTCTCAGGATTCCTTCCTGCATGAGCCTCTCCCCCAGTTCCCAAGAGAGCAAGGACCAGTTCAGTTGTGCAGAGGCCCTCCCAGAGCACTGCTATTCCTTCTGATTTCTGACATAAAAGGGCACCAAGGTTTTCTAATAGTTTAAGGGAAGATACTTTATTTCCATTATTTTGATACATCACCAAACTGCTTCAGTGAAAGAAGTTTCAACATTATACACACACTAGAAGAGAATTTATCTAAGAGGAAGTTGGCTCATTCTCCAAACTGGCTAATCAGCTGTAAAATAAATTTCAGAGAAGCACTGGTGAGGAGATACAGAGTCCTAGGATAATAGTAAGATTGCAGGTAGAAGTGATGGTGGGGGAAAGAGGGTGGACTGTGTTCACTCAGGACTGGAGTATGCAAGACCTCTATGGGAGAGGGTCTCAGCCTACTCAGGGAACGGAACTGGCTGGAAGAAAGTGAGGGAAGAAGGGGATGAAGAACACCAGCTGAGAAAGTCAGCTGTTGAACTGCAGCTGAAAAGAAAGTAAATTCCAGAAAATAGTACACAGGCCTATCTCACAGGTTGTGGATGTGAAGAAAAGAAACAATAGGTAAGAAACAAGGGAGTACTTTACTCAAATGTCCCTGGATTTATCTTGACTAGACAGAACACCAAACTGTTTGATACCTGACTAGAAGAGCATATGTGTTGGGACTAAAATTCCAAGGCCGTACTTTTAAAGGCCACAAGAATCCTCAGAAATGCTCAATGTAACAACCACGATTTAAGTGTGGTGTTTTAAAGTTATCTACTGCTATATATGTAAATTGGAAACATCCTGATCAAAGAGGGATGCCAAGATATTTTAGTGCCTAATACATTATGGAATTCTAGGAAAATTCTCATAGTCATGACTCTATATATATATAAAGTAAAGCAATATCCAAGAGTAGGTAAGTACCGAATAGTGAATTAAACAAATAGTGACAGATGCCAAATTTGAACATCACGTAAAATAGATTTTTAAAAGGCACATTGGTGCCACCTTTTGGCCAGATTAAATATTTACACAAATTATGATCACATTTTAATTTCACAGCCTCCTTCTGAGGGACACACACAACTGTTTAGTTCAAACATTGTATGAATAGGTTTAAAACTGTCCTCTTGCTTAATACATCTATGAATTTTAATAATCACATTTTTATATTTGAAAAAATAAGATAAAAGATAATACAAATAGAAATTTAATTCTGAATGAAAACACATCTCATACTCCATTAAGAATAGTATTAACTTCAGAGATGACTGGGACAAGAATCCTTAAAGTTTTTTTGTATCCTTCAGCTCTTGACAATCATCAGAAAACTTATTTTAAACTTTTCTTTTCTTTTCTTTTTTTAATCTGGTTATTTTAAGCTTCTAGACCAGGATTAGTCTATCTCAGCACTCTTGACATTTTGGGCTGGATCATTCTGTGTTGTGGGGGGCTATCCTCTGCATTGTGAGATGTTCAGCTGTACCCCTCGCCTCTCTACCCACTAGATGCCAGAAGCACTCTCTCCCCCTACTCCCACACAGGTGTGACAACCAGAAACATCTCCACACTGCCAAATGTCCCCATGGTGAGGGGGATCACCCAGTGTGATGGTTAACTTTATGTGTCAAATTGACTGGGCCATTGGGTACCCAGATATTTGGTCAAACACTATTCTGGATGTGTCTGTGAGGATGTTTCTGGATGAGATTAACATCTGAATCAGTAGATTAAGTAAAGTAGATTACCCTTTCATATGAATGGCCCTCATTCAATTAGTTGAAGGCCTGAATAGAACAAAAAGGCTGATCCTCCTGAGAGTACAGGGAACTTCTGCCTATTAGCCTGGACACTGGTCTCTTCCTGCCTTTGTAAGTCTCAGCTACAAAGTTTGGACTGGGATTATATCAGCGCCCCCCTGGGTCTCCACAGCTCGCCAACTGTAGATCTTGGGACCGCTTGCCCTCCAAATTTGCATGTCACTCTCTCTCTAAGACACACACACACACACACACACCCTCTGTGGTTCTGTTTCTCTGGAGAACCCTGACCAACACGCCCTCGCTGAGAACCACTGTTACAGATTATGTTACTGGAGGACATAGAGAGTGTATAGGGAAGAATGGAACAAGGCAAGAAACTTCTGGGACATAACTAGATATTATCTTTCTTTCTGAGATGGTGGTTGGAAAGCAGTTGATTAGGACACCAATTTTCTATTAACACAGATTATGGCTGGTAAGAATTGGGCTCACAGATGCATTTTTGTATCACACATCCAAAATGTTACCTGGCACAGAGACTACTTACCTCAACACTAGGAAGACAACATTTGGCAGACACTTCTGTAAAATAAGAACACATTTCATTTATAAAAGGTTTTATCATCATCACATTAGTTTATTTGTCTTGATAAAATATATGAAATTCGCTGTTTTCATTTCAAATGGAGGATACAAAATTTTGTGAAAGAATTTTTCTGAAGCAAACTCACAATACATTAGGTGGAAGAATTTAACCGTGCAACAGAGTATTGATTTCAGTCTCCTGTATTTGCTATGTGTTGCTTGCACTGTGAAGATTTCTTCAGAGGGCCTTTTTAAAATTGTACAAGTTTTTGAAATCCAAGTTTCTCTGAAACTATTTTAAGTTGATACTCGATTTAATCTGACTAAATGACTTTATTTGGCACAAAACAGAAGAGCTGCTGATGATAGTTACTGTCAATTGCAGGAGCAATATCTACCAAGTAATCAAGTGAGACACAGATACACACTGAAGCACAAAGGATTCTCCCAGATCTTGAAGACAAAAATCACAATTTGTAATTCCTGTATTTAAGACATCCAGGCTTAGAACTGTGTAATCTCACCAGTTTTCATAAAGTCCAATCATACAAACACAGGACAACAAAGAATAATAATTTATAGATTTCACTCTTAGGAATTTAAAAATTAATTATAATAAAATACCATAGAGCTACATTTAGTTTAAGACCACACAAAGATACGTTACATTATGAAAACTCTTCACCTCAATTACTACCAAAAAAAAAATACTTCTCAAGGATCTGAGTTACAATATCAAGAATCTGCCTGTTCAAGTAAACATTAATGGAATTATACATTTTCAGACTCTTTTCCATGTTTAATATATATTTCCTTCAGTTTTAAAAGAAGCCTCTTCCAATCCTATTTTAATAAAACAGAATGAATTTCTGTGTTACCCCTACTCCATCCCCTGTCCCCATCTACTTTTTAGATGAGCTACATCAAAGAAATGCAAATGATATTTTTTTTCTCCATTGCCTTTGTTCCTTTTCTTTTATGTAAATAATATGTTTGGGGGAACTTTCAATAAAGCTCCAATTGGCAAGTTTCATTCTCTATAATGCCAAAGAGTTAATATCCTCCTTGCTAAAAGCTAAAGAGAAATACTGATGATTAAACTACAGTAGGATAGGAATTCTAACACTGCTGTTTATAGAGTATTTGTAAAAACTAAAAAGAATTTTGTCAATTATTAAGTATTAAATAGTACATGATCACTTCTAGACATTCTAGAATGTATCAGTTGGAATACTGAAGTCAATAGGTTTAGCTATGGAATAAACAGTTTTCTTTGTATGGTTGGTTTTTATCAATAATACTGATAGAACTTAACACAATTTTAATACAGTCCTTACAACACCCCTTTACAGATGGGAAATCAGAAAATCAGAGCAAGAAGTAAATAATCTCAAGAAATAATAAAAAATTTTGTTTTTTTAATAAGGCAGACTGCACTTATCAGATACTGAGTTCTGATAATATGCTGGTAAGGATAAATACTGAAACAGTCTGTTTTTCTGCAGAAAACAACTATATGCAGGATCTAGAAAGAAGGGAAAATTCTAAGCTGATCCAAGGGGAAAATGTCTGTTTCATATTTCCCTGATACATTGATTAAGGTGCACACAACATTTCTAGTTTTAAGAACTTGATAATCATTATGCAAACCATACTTATGTGGCTAAGATTATAGCTCCATTTTGCAAGTGATGTAGTTAAAACTAAAGGGTTTAGTTAGGAGAACTTCTTTAATACAAAGTCAATTTTCTTACTGAGGAATCATATCTTAAAAAATATACTCAGGGCACAATTTTAGTCATAAAAGTTATTTTAAAAATATGCCTATTGAATGAATGAAAAAAAAACAAAACACCTGGTCATTCCTCACACCACTACTCACTGACTCTCAGGAATCCAGCTTTTGGGAATTTTTTCTATAAAATGAAGTAAACATTTTTCTACTTTCTAAAACAGAAAGAATATTATGAAGATGAGGGAAAGAACACTTACTTGGAATTCCTAATACATTTTTTGTTAAATTATTTTTATTTATTTATTTTGGGAGGAGGTAATTAAATTTCTTTATTTTAATGGAAGTACTGGGGACTGAACCCAGGACTTTGTGCAGGCTACGCGGGTACTCTACCACTGAGCTATACTCTCCCCCAAGAATTCCTAATACTAAAAGTAACTTTATGAATAAGAATAAAAATACTGTTCATCCTCTTTTTTAATACCCATCAAAAGTAGATATATTTCTTCTTTAAATTAATGTCCATCATGGCCAATCAGCCACAAGCAAACTTACCATTTCTCCAGATTCTGCCCTGCACAGCTTGCAACCCTGCCCACAACTCATATGCACACTGAATCCTACCCTTTAGCTGTACACGTTTCTTGTGTCAAAGACTAATGACTGAGCAAGTAGGAAAGAACATAGGAGAAAAAAAATCAGAAAAAAATTGTTATCTAAATGAGGAAAATAAAATTTTATGTGAAGGAGGTTAGGGAATATATCCAGAATAGTCTAAAATACATGAAATCAATTTTGTGTTTATCCTATGAGATGAAATCTTTGAGGGTAGTATGAGTTTGAATAATTCCTTAAATGATTTAAGATTAAGGTCAGATGAAGTTCTGATCCCAAAGAGCAGTACATTTGTCTTAATTACTCCCAACATAACTGACCCTGTATCAATAGCTACTTAGATTTCATTCTCAACATATTGATCCTGACCCCAGGAGGCTTCCCTCCCTTGCCTAGGGCAGAAAGTCAACCAGCTTAGACAAAGCCCATTGGTTTTCTTTGTTCGGTCCTTAAAAAAAAGTTATCACTTTATAATTCCTCTAAACTCACTGCTAACCCAGAGAAAACCTTTGTGCCCTTAGAATGAGCTAGATTTCTCTTTGAGCTCCCTCCTGACTCAACTCTGATACTTGAAGAACTCTGATATTATCAGGAAATCTCAGAAACATGCAGTCAGGAAGGAGATCAAAGAGGTTTTGTATGCAATTAAATTCTAAGCTAAACAAACCAAATTTATCAAATTTACTAATATATCTGTGAGGCTAAGAATTTAACAGGTAGCATATGAAAAAGATGAGGCTATTTTGAAGCCTCTCTCTTTCATTACTCTTGACTATCTAGTATCTGAAACTTAAACATCTCGTAAACTATTTAGAGCTACCCTCCGTGGTGAAGTTTGACCAGCTATTTCCCAGCTACATGGAGCAGGACACTCTACCATTCAGTCCATCAATTTTAATTCTTCTGGAGTTTTAGCTTTGTACGTTTCATCTTTATAAAGGAGAGTTAAGTTGATTCACGGAGGGAAGGCTATCATGGATTTTAAACATAGTTTTAGGACACTAACTGTATCTACTCTGCTGGTTTTATGGACCAGAAAAAAGTGACAGTTGTGTCACTGAAAAATTACTTTTTCAAGTGACTGTTAGAAAATTAATGTCAACTCAGGCAGCCTAGAAAACCTTCTGATACTGAGGGTAAAAGATAATTTGTATTTTATCATTTTCTTTATCATTACATAAGCTCATATAAACCTCTGGTCATAAAAAGCTCAAGTTGCTCTTAAGGTTTTTAAGAAAACACTCTAGATTAAGGTTAACACTGGGGTGTTAGTCACCACAGATCTACCTGAAGCTGTCTCTGACATTGCGGGCTTCTCTGCTTATCTATGTACACATGTGTATCTTACTGTTTTTTTTCTTTAAGATTTTTTTGTGTGTGACTAACTCTTCTCTCTTTCAAATAAAATACTTCTATTGAAAATGAGGTATGCTCAGTGTGAAAAAAATAAAGCCATGTAAGATGTTGCAGAGCTAGTAAGTAACAAGTAATTTAAAACTACTCATTATTTGGTATAGCTATGCCTTAAAACAAACTTTTTATACATATATATACAATATATATAGTTATGCATTAAAATAACTATTAATTTCTTATATAGCAGAAAACATTTTAAAATAATCCACACTAGAACTTAATTCATGTGGAACATTAGCCAAAAGTGAGTACAGAAAATTTTTTAAAAAAGGTTTCATTTATTTCATATTCAATTTGATTTTACAGATCCTACAACCTGGAAAAACTTAGAAATTCCAAAAGTAACTATTGAATCTGAAGTTCCATATTTCCATACTGATTTCTGATGTCTAAATTGTGATTTAGTTTATGAAAAGTTCACAGCCCTAAATGAAGGTTAAATTTTAGTAGTTATGCATCAATATATCTTACAATAAGAGCCAGTATATACAACCTTAAAAACAAGGATAAATGGCAAAGAAAATGCCAATAGAACTTGAGGAGGAAAATAATTTATAGATTAAAAAATGCATGTAAATTTTCTTTTTCAGAATTGGTATAAAAATCCTGAAGGAGAAACTGCTACTCAACTAGGATAGTGTCCACGTTTTCTTGTGTGAGTTCTGACTCTAAGGCACAAGATGAGTCTAACTGTTCTTGCGACAAGCGAGACCCTTTCAGGGGGATATCAGACCAGCTGTCACAATACGGCTGAAATCTCTGGGCTAATACATTACCAAACCTTTGGCATCGGTTATATCTGTAAGATTTACCTTTGTGTGTATACATGTGTTCCAGCAATTGGCTCTTTCGGAGAAATTTATGACCACAGATGGTACAGCTGATTTTTCTTTTCCTTGAAAAAGAAAAATTACAGTTTAATTCCATTGGCTCTGTGTCTTTGGAGATCAGAGACACTTGGCTGATCTGCAAAGGCTCAGTGGTGCCCTGGCTGGTGTGGTCAGGCTGCTGCTCATTCTCCTTGACAGTGAAGGGGCTGAGCCTGCGGCTTTCAAGAGACTCGCCATTTTCATTAAGTGGATGCACTTCGCCAAGGTCGTTACTTTCCAGAATGGAAGCAGGAACACCAAAAGGGAGAGATCCAGACACGTGGGTATGGAGATGTTGTCTTAGATTACTTCGGGAATCAAAACGTTCCCCACAGTAATGGCATAAGTGTATTTTGATACCACTTTCAGTGAACGTGGGGACTGTCACCTCTGATGAAGGTGAGGGATGGCTCTGGGAGGTCAAAGATTCTGGGTCACATCTCTCCTGCTTGATGGACACTGGGGGCTTCTGGTGCTCCTCCAGGGCCTGGGCAGCAGAACGGGCCCTCTGCTGGTCTGCAGTGCCATCATCCAGCCCAATAGCGAGAGAAAGCTGCAACTGGGGGTGGTCACCCTGGACAGCAGCTCTGTTTCCAATGTTAGTGGAAGGAGCTTCTTTGACCTCCAGCCCTTGTTTGACAGCTGTTTTCTGGGTCGTTGAGATCTGAATGCCATATAAATTTGAGGACTGCACAGTCTCTGGTGAGAACACTTGATTCATTTCAGTTGCAATGTGAGAAAGGTAGTCAGCGTGAAGAAATCGAATCCCTTCCTCCAAACGACTATGATCCACAATCTGTTTTGGCCCTTTCCCCGTGTACATAATGTGCAACAAATAGCTGAATATGTCAGGTTGGATGTCAGTTGGTTGTATTTTTATGCATTCACTGTTAAAAACAAAAAACAGACCCACACAGAATGAAACAACCCAGTTGGCCTTTTAGTTAACAGTATACAGTCTTGGGCTAAAGCAATTTCTTTCCAAAAAGTTCTGACTTAGCAATCTGCCTTGATGAAACACAGCAACGAAAGCTTAAACTTTCATTGTATAGCAGTTTTATGGCCCAGCAAAAGTCTTCATGTATTCAGTCTACTGCCTAAAGTTAAGAAACGTGGATATTCTGATTAGTTCGACATTTAATTAGTTACTCCTAAGTGAAATGCACTTATATCAAGTACTAGAGGTAGACAAATGATGAATAAAATAGGTACCCCGCTCTTAAGGAACTTAACAGTGTATTTTAAGTGCATATAACCAAAAGAACTAAAATCAGGGACTCAAACAGATACCTACACACCAATATTCATTACAGCATTACTCACATTAGCCAAAAAGTAGAAACAGTCCAAGTGTCCATCAACAGATGAATGAATAAATAAAATGTGGCATATACATACAATGGAATATTATCCAGCTATAAAGAGGAATGAAGTTCTGATATACACTACAACATAGATGAACAGTGAAAACATTATGCTAAGTGAAATAAGTCAGACACAGCAGGACAAAGTTTGTATGATGCCACTTATCAGAAATATCTAGAAAAGGCAAATTCATAGAGACAAAGTAGATCAGAGGTTACCAGGAGGCTGCGGGGGGTGGGGGTGCGGAGGATGGGGAGTTATTATTTAATGGGTTCAGTTTCTTTCTGAGGTGATGAAGAGTTTTAGAAATAGAAAATGGTGAGGGTTATACAACATCTGAATGCCTTTAATGCCACCTGAATTGTACAATTTAAAATGGTTAAAATGGTAAATTTTATGTTTATATATATTTTACTACAATAAGAAATAATTAAAAAACTCAAAGAGGTCTATCGGAATTGGTAATATTTAGAATTTAAATTACACTAACCTTATTTTGGCTTCCAAACTATATTAATAAAATCACTCTTTTGATCACAAATGAATACAGGTATAACCCTGAAAAGCTTTAAATTAACCCTAAACCCAGTTTTCACATATGAATATAGAATTCAGACAACAGATGGAAATAATTGTATAACAAGAAATCAGGAATCATGCTGCAAAATTAGAATAAAGACAACCTGATGGAAATGCTGGATGACAAGGAACAATGAAATCACTTACCTTCCCTGAAGCAAAAGTTTGTGACAACGTAGCAAAAAGCACTGGGTGTCAGTATTCTGGCAGCTCATTTCTTTAGTCCTGATTTTTTAGGATTCCCTCTTGTGTTTCACTCTTACCTCTGACCCACACACTGCCATGGTCTGCGGCAGGGTTTTTAAAATATTGGCACAGAGGTGTCAACTGAGGAGTTTTAGTTGCTCAACAGAGATACCACAACATAGGGCTGCCACCTTTGTCTCTCCTAGATTTAGTTTAGCACGGTGCCTGGTACACAACAGGTGCTTTCAGAGCTGAACCAACTCACAGCTCTTGGATAAGACTGATGTGAAGGCAATGTTTCTAATCTGGTTTCTACACTGACACTTTAAGTCAGAGAGGAAACTATTTTGCGTGGCAGAAAAGGCTACACATGACTTGTCTCTTACTCTAACCTCCTCTCCCTTTTGTGTCATATATTCCAATCATTTTGATCCACTCTGTTTTCTGCATGTGCTAGCCTGGTTCATATCTGCCTATGTTTTCATGTGTTTTTTCCCTCTGCTTGCAATGTACCTTTCTGCATTCCTCTACAACATCTGAAAAACTCCTCCTGCTCCTTCAAGATCCAGAGCCTCTGTAAAGCCTGACCTGTTCCAAACTTTTCAAAATAAGGTTGCTGACACTCCATTCTACCTTGTCTGTCATAGACATCACATTAATTATCAATAGCAGCAGCTAACAGTGCAGAGCTCTGTTCTAAGCATTTTAATATTATTAATGCATTTAACTTGCTCAACACCATGGAATGGGTATACTACTCTGGCATTTTACAGAGAAGGAAACTGAGGCGCAGAGAGATTAATTATACTGCAATTATTTTCTTTACATTTGTTACCTCTCTATTAGACTATAAACTTTTTGAGAGCAGGGTCATAACTTACCCGTTACTGGGGTCTATCCAGCACAGTACCTGATGTATAAGTACTCAATAAATAGTTGAATGAATGAACAATTAAAATACATAATTGAAGCTGGACTCCTAAGTATTTTCATGTAAGTTCCTTTAAAAAAGCATCGACTGTTCTGTCACTTTCAACCTAGGATGTATTAAGACTACTCTTGACCAGGAGCTCAGAATCTGAATACCACATCATAGCTCTCTCCCTACGGACCTATCATGTTGGGGTAATCTAAATTCAAAAAAACTTTTTGAAAAAATATTGGAAACAAATGACCTCTGAACTGCAATATGGAAGATAGGGTGGGTAGAACTATGACAATGAAAGTGTTATGGAATAGAAATCAACAGCTTAGTGATTAAGAGCACAGATTTGCACTGGAGTTTGATGTGTTAACTGTATAATCCTGGGTGGGCAAGTTACTTGACATCCAGTTACAGTTTCCTTTTCTCTAAAATAGTATGGATAACAGTAGAATTTACATTAGGTAAATACTAGTGCCTGATTATGGGATAGGACTTCAATAAAGTTTCGCTATTACTGTTTGCATTCTTATCTTCTACCATAGATTCTACCCACTCAGTTTAATTAAGATGTATAAAATTTTAAAAAAATTTAGTATTTCCTAAGGTGACCCCGTAACAAATAATCCCCAAAATGATGTTATAATAAGGTTTAGCTATATCACAATATTAAAAATTCTTCTGACTTACAAAAGCACATCCTTACCTTGTTTGGTGAATAAATATCATCTTGAAATAGTTAGAAAAAGCAGCAAGCACTGCTCTGTGAGCTTTGAAGTAAACATCTCCAATAGCAACTGTGCAATCACACAGAAAACCAAATTCTCGTTGCATGTTCAGCTGCTGCAGAAGGACAAGGCTATGGCTAGCTGTATCCATGGTGCCTCTGAGAAGAAGGACAATATAGGTTGTTTTTTTGTTTGTTTACAAAATTGGCTGTAGTTCACACAAACCTACAAGGTACAAAGAGACCTAAATTTAAATGACATTATTCAACAGTTTTCAATACTGTTAATTTTACCCCAAACCTAGCTAACATTAAATCCCCCATCATGACGAACCTGCTGAAACCATAAAATGTGGCCTTGTTTTTTAATCCATTAAGAAGGTAGCTTGGTCAACTGACACAGTCGTGAAAGGAAGTCTGTCCTTTTTTTTAATCTACGTGACCACAATGTTTCTAGTCCTCAGTTTCCTCACTGGAAAAATGGGAATAAGTTACTGATCCTTGCCTCAGAGCGAAACAAGGTAAGTTATGTGAAAAGCACCTTGTGATGTAAGGTATAATGTTAGCTATAAATGTTAAAAACATAACAGTGTGCCCTGGCTGGGGTAGGTAGTGCTGTCACTGCTCCTTAGGGATCCTCTGTGTGCTCTGGGGACACTGGCCTCCTGACCAGCATACAATGTTTGGGAAACTTATCACAGTAAGTCCAGAAGCCCTTAAAATGGATGTCAAGCCATATCTCCAGATTCACATGGGGCCCAGGAGGCCCATGGGAAAGAATCTAAACCCCAATTTTAAATGGACTCAGATACATATAAGAATAGAGGTTCCCAAAGAAGTAGAACGCAGGATAGGACCACTGGTCTCAGGGAGAAAAACTGTGCATGAGGGAGAAGATGCAGAAGAATTCTGGCGGAGAAGTCTAGCGTGAGCAGCAAGAACATTCAAGAGTGCCCTGGGAGGTGGGAGGCTCTGCCACCTTCTCTGCCCCAACTGTGCAGAAAGCCCTGGTGCTTTAGAGAGAAGGCAGCTGTGGCATAAAGGGCATCACTGGGGTGCTAGAAGAATGTCCTCTAGAAGAGGAGATCCGGAAACAAAAGAATGAAGTTTTCTCACTAAACAAAGCGAGACCAAGGTCTAAGGAGGTCAGTGATGAGAGTGTGGAGTTAGCTGTCTGGAGACTGGCAGTAGCTTGTGCAGCAAAACGCTGAGTGATGGACAATATAATAAAAATAGCTAACAGTTTAATGCTTCCTATGTATCAGGCACTTTTCACTCATTTAATTTTCAATACAGCTCTGTGAGAAAGGGAATACTCAATGCACCTTACAGGTGAAGACATAATCAACACAGGCACTTTTCACTCATTTAATTTTCAATACAGCTCTGTGAGAAAGGGAATACTCAAGGCACCTTACAGGTGAAGACATAATCAACACAGAGAGTTAATGTACCCAAGTTACACCGCTAGTAAGTGGCAGAGCAGGGGATTCAAACCCAGGCACTGGGCTCCAGAGCCCAGATGTCCTCCCTCCCCACCTCCCAGGGGGAACGTGACCCAGCAACTGAGGGCACCTAGGGAAAGTCTATACATCATGGCTCTGGGAAGCCTCAGGAATATGTGGAAAGAGGAATCAGGGAAAACCCAGATTTCCTGCTGCTTAAGCAAATGTGACACAGCAAGACAAATGTTTATACTTATTAGTGGATAAAATCTAGATTATAACTGGTAAAGATAAAAGTAATTACTACTGATAAAAGGTTAAATCTATTTTTATTAAAACTACAAATTTAATGTACTAATATGGAATAATTTCCAAAATGTTTTCAGTAAAAAAAAAAGCAAAATATAAAATTGTGTAGAGAAGACTACTATTTATGTAAAAGTGGTAGTTATTTTATTTTTAAAGGTGGGGGAGGAATTTATATACAAATATATTCTTGTTTGTGTAACATCTCTGGAAAGGTTCAAAGAAACGAGTTTCACTTCTGGGAGGGAAACTAGGGATTAAGGAGTTAAGGGTGGGGGGAACTATACTGTTTGAACTTAAAAAAACAACTTGTATGGAAGTTTAATATAATAAATACATATCTACATGATTCCTTTTTCCCTCAGTGTCTAAAATTATGAAATATTTCAGATAGGCAAGTAGGTAAAGAAAATAATGTCATCCCATCACCCCCACCCCCACCCCGGGCACCAAAAGTGAACATTACAAACATGGTAGAGATCTCCTGGCATCTCTCCCTCTTTCTATCCTCTCACCCACTTTGCCTCCAAGGATAACCACTGTTTTGATTTTGGTGTTTATGACTCTCTTGTACATTATCATATTCTGTATATAACCCTTAAGAAGGTATGGTATTGTTCTACATGTGTTAAAATTTTATATAGGTAATATTGTACTTTAGGAATCCTGCAGCTTGCTTCTTTTAACTCTACATTCATACATTACTTTAAAAAAATCCTACCTAACATTAACAGTTTCCCCTATTCCTTCCCCCAAGTAAAAAAGAATTAAAACCAAAACTCATACCCCTTACTAACTCACTTTAAAAGCCTTTAAGCTGCAATGAAATGACAAGATAACAGAACCTACAGAGACTTGAGCCTATCTTCTAAGAATATAAACAAAAATCCAAGTTGTGGGCATTGTTCCAAAAGGCCATTCAACAAAATGTCACTATTATGTTTGCCACATTTTTCTGATTCTAAAATCCACCAATTTATAGAGAAACTAAAAAACCAAAATAAAACTGTATATTGGAGATTGCAGTATGTGAAAAACATGTCTTAGTTTTAATAAAATGGTTCAAATTGAAGTACCTTAAATCAGTCTTACAAATTATCTCAACCCCCTCCTCCAAACTGACTATACCTCAATTAAAAAAAACCCTCAGTTCATAAACATGTTCACCAGTTCTTTCTATATATAGATATATATACATAATGCATTAGTATAATGAACTATTGAACCATGTGGAAATGAAAATAGCACAATAAAAAGCCACATATACAAAAATCTGTGGTTAATGGTCTATGAGTAACAGTTAAATTCACTTAGAGAATAAATATTATTTGAAGATAAATTTAATAAAGAAAAAAATTGAAAGCATGCATTGGCCAAAACATGGGGACAGGAAAAAATTACACTGATGCTGCAATCAAGAAGATAACAGGGGAGATAAAACGTAAAACAAAGTAATTACAATATGAAGCAAAAGTGATAAGGGCCATAAGCAGCTGAAGAAAATACTATGAGAGGGAGATAAATGACAGGAAATCCAATGAAAAATAATCTATTTGAACTGGATCTGGAAGAACAGGCAGAAAATGAACATAGCGTTATAGGCAGAAAAAAACAGACTGAGTGAAATTACAGGGAGAGGTATGAATACATAGATAACTGAAGATTTCAGTTTGGCATAGAAAAAAACACAAGTAGGTGAATAAAAAGAGATGGGGGTCAGGTCACCGAGGGTACTTAATGCAAAACTAAAAGCTACGACAGTTGTGTTTGAAATGGAGAACTATATTAAGATACATTTTCAGTGGAGGGAGAATAAACAGCACAGAGTGAAACTTTGGATTCTGGAATCAGACAGCATGGATTAATCCCAGTTCTGCCATTTAGCTGTGTGATCTTGACAAGACACTTAACTCTCTGGCCCTCAGTTTCACTTGTAAAATATGGATAATTACAGTTTTTACCTCACAGATTATTACATAGATTTAATAAGACAATGCATATCAGCACTTAGAAACAGGGGGGCACACAGTGAATGTTCAATAAATACCAGTTACCATCATCACCATCACTGGGCCTGTGAATCAAGACTGCTCTAGTAGCAACATATAAAAAAGATTAACAGGCAAAAGGCCTGGAGAAATAAAGACCAGAAAGAAGCCTCCTGCAATGTCCAAACAATGGCCATGGGAATAGAGGAGGGAACACAAGAAGATACGCCAGACGTAGAACTGGCATGACTTGGCAGCAGACTGGATGTGGTCAGCCACAGAGAAGATCGAGTCAAAGGTGGGTCTCAGAATTCCAGCTTAGGTAACTGGAAAAATTAATTCATTCCTTCGAGTCCCATTTGCAGAGTAACTGCCATGTACTAGGTGTTGATATAAAGGCAGCATCCCAGAATGCCAGAGGAAAGGCATAGAAATTGGCTTGGTAAGAGAGGAGTTTCATTTTGGACAAAGTGAGTTCAAGGTACCCCCTCTAGAACATCTAAGTAGAAATGTTTAGTTATCAGTGGAGACCATAAGCAGCACTGGGACTCTAGAGAGAGCAGGGCTAGAGAGGGAGAGAAATAACAAGGCTGCAGTCACCAGGAGCGGATGGGACTATTGAGTGAAATAAGAAGGGGAAAAAGCTAGGACTGAATCCCTGAAAAACAAGAACAGATATAACTGGACAGAAGAAGAGACATTAAAAAATACATGTCATTGAGGGAAGTGAAGGAAAGGCGAGAACCTTGGCAGGCGGAGGTGGCAATGGTATAAAATGCTGCAGAGAATGAGGAAGAGGCCTATTACAAACACCCCCAAGTGTGCTGACTTCTGACAACAGTTTGGGAAAGCAGCAAGAGCAAAATATCTGACTGCAGGGGGATGTTAGAAACCAGAGGCCATAAAGGGTAGGTATAGATAGACAGGACATTAGGGAGCTGCACATCAAAGACTTGCAGGCTGAAGAGGGGTGGAATCTCTAGAAGTCAGAAGGAATGTAATCAAAAGTTTAAGTGTAGCAGTTAGTCATGGAGGTAAAAAAGGATCTCTTTCTCCAATAGTGGAAAGGAGATGGTTGAGGTAAGCAGAGAGAATTTGAGAGTACTCTTAGATGGCACTGATTTACAAACTATGAAGTCAGTCCATATGGAGAGGGAAGAGGTGAGTTCAGGCCTTGAAAGAAACCTAGCGTATTAATCGCTGAGCTAATACAGAGTGTTGAAGTTTAAAGAGAACTTTCACACACAATAATTTCTCTTTCTGATTTAGATGAGATCATTTCTATTTATCTTCAAGTTCACCATCATTTCTAATCTGTTGACCCATTTCTTATTTCAGATATAGTTTCAAATCTAAAATTTTCATCTCATTCTTTCTTAGTTTCTATTTCTCTGCTGAGATTTCCTATTTGTTCACACAT